GGGCTGCTCTGCCTGCTCAGAGACTTCCACCGCGGCAAGCTGCAGGCGTTCGGTGGGCGCCGCGCGCGGCCAGCGCGCTGATCGCGGTGCATCGCGGTCATCACGGTGCATTGTGGCAATCGCGGTGCATCGCGGTCATCATGGTGCATCATGGTGATTGTGGCAATCACGGTGCATCATGGTCATCATGGTGCATCGCGGTGCATTGCGCTCATCGTGGTGCATCGCGCCCATCACGGTGCATCATGGTGATCGCAGCAATCGTGGTGCATCATGGTCATCATGGTGCATCGTGATGATTGCGCCCATCGTGGTGCATCACGGTGATTGTGGCAATCACGGTGCATCGTGGTCATCATGGTGCATCATGGTGATCGCGCCCGTCGCAGTGCATCGTGCCCATCACGGTGCATCTCAGCGCACCACGACGATCACAGTGCGTCACGGTGCATTGCGGTGATCGCAGCAATCGCAGTGCATCACGGTCCATTGTGGTCATCACGGTGCATCACGGTGATTGCGCCCATCGCGGTGCATTGCGCCCATCGTGGTGCATCTCAGTGCACCACGACAATCGCAGTGCATCACGGTGCATTGCGGTAACGGAACACTGGAACAGGCTGCCCAGAGAGGTTGTGGAATCTCCTCTGGAGATCTCCAAACCCGCTTGGATGCCACCCTGTGCCACGTGCTCTAGGTGACCCTGCGCGTGCAGGGAGGTTGGACTAGATGATCCCTAGAGCCCCTTCCAACCTTAACGCTTCTCGGATCGCGGTGCGTGCCGGCCGTCGCGGTGCTGGCCGTGACGCCGCGGTGCCGCGCAGGGAAGGAGTGCTCCTTCGAGCAGCTGGAGCGCGTGCGCGGACGAGGACGAGCTCCGTGGGTCTGATGTGGACGTGGACAAGGTCCGTGGGTCTGACGTGGACATGGACGAGCTTCATGGGTCTGCTGGGGACGAGGACGAGCTCCGTGGGTCTGATGGGGACGAGGACGAGCTCCGTGGGTCTGATGTGGACGTGGACAAGGTCCGTGGGTCTGACGTGGACATGGACGAGCTTCATGGGTCTGCTGGGGACGAGGACGAGCTCCGTGGGTCTGATGGGGACGAGGACGAGCTCCGTGGGTCTGATGTGGACGTGGACAAGGTCCGTGGGTCTGACGTGGACATGGACGAGCTTCATGGGTCTGCTGGGGACGAGGACGAGCTCCGTGGGTCTGATGGGGACGAGGACGAGCTCCGTGGGTCTGATGTGGACGTGGACAAGGTCCGTGGGTCTGACGTGGACATGGACGAGCTTCATGGGTCTGCTGGGGACGAGGACGAGCTCCGTGGGTCTGATGGGGACGAGGACGAGCTCCGTGGGTCTGATGTGGACGTGGACAAGGTCCGTGGGTCTGACGTGGACATGGACGAGCTTCATGGGTCTGCTGGGGACGAGGACGAGCTCCGTGGGTCTGATGGGGACGAGGACGAGCTCCGTGGGTCTGATGTGGACGTGGACAAGGTCCGTGGGTCTGACGTGGACATGGACGAGCTTCATGGGTCTGCTGGGGACGAGGACGAGCTCCGTGGGTCTGATGGGGACGAGGACGAGCTCCGTGGGTCTGATGTGGACGTGGACAAGGTCCGTGGGTCTGACGTGGACATGGACGAGCTTCATGGGTCTGCTGGGGACGAGGACGAGCTCCGTGGGTCTGATGGGGACGAGGACGAGCTCCGTGGGTCTGATGTGGACGTGGACAAGGTCCGTGGGTCTGACGTGGACATGGACGAGCTTCATGGGTCTGCTGGGGACGAGGACGAGCTCCGTGGGTCTGATGGGGACGAGGACGAGCTCCGTGGGTCTGATGTGGACGTGGACAAGGTCCGTGGGTCTGACGTGGACATGGACGAGCTTCATGGGTCTGCTGGGGACGAGGACGAGCTCCGTGGGTCTGATGGGGACGAGGACGAGCTCCGTGGGTCTGATGTGGACGTGGACAAGGTCCGTGGGTCTGACGTGGACATGGACGAGCTTCATGGGTCTGCTGGGGACGAGGACGAGCTCCGTGGGTCTGATGGGGACGAGGACGAGCTCCGTGGGTCTGATGTGGACGTGGACAAGGTCCGTGGGTCTGACGTGGACATGGACGAGCTTCATGGGTCTGCTGGGGACGAGGACGAGCTCCGTGGGTCTGATGGGGACGAGGACGAGCTCCGTGGGTCTGATGTGGACGTGGACAAGGTCCGTGGGTCTGACGTGGACATGGACGAGCTTCATGGGTCTGCTGGGGACGAGGACGAGCTCCGTGGGTCTGATGGGGACGAGGACGAGCTCCGTGGGTCTGATGTGGACGTGGACAAGGTCCGTGGGTCTGACGTGGACATGGACGAGCTTCATGGGTCTGCTGGGGACGAGGATAAGGTCCGTGGGTCTGACGTGGACATGGACGAGCTTCATGGGTCTGCTGGCGATGTGGACAAGGTCCGTGGATCTGCTGGGGACGAGGTCCGTGGGTCTGCCAGGGACGTGGATGAGCTCCGTGGCTCTGCCATAGATGTGGACAAGGTCCATGGGTCTGTCATGGATGTGGACGAGCTCCGTGGGTCTGTCATGGATGTGGACGAGCTCTGTGGGTCTGTTGTGGGTGTGGACGAGCTCCATGGGTCTGTCATGGACAAGCTCCATGGGTCTGCTGGGGATGTGGACAAGGTCCGTGGGTCTGCTGGAGATCAGGACAAGCTCCGTGGATCTGACGTGGACGTGGACGAGCTCCATGGGTCTGCCGGAGACATGGACAAGGTCCGTGGGTCTGCTGTGGATGTGGACAAGGTCCGTGGGTCTGCCATGGGGTGGCATGGGTCTGCCGTGGGGCGGCTGTCGATTCTCCTGCCCTCGGGTTCCTACCAAACACAAAACAATCGTTACGCAGCAAAGGGCTGTTTTTGTCTCCCTGTTCGGTTCCTACCAAACACAAAACGAGCAGCCCGTGCAGGGCTCGAGCGCTGCTCTGCAGCGAGCTCTGCTGCCGGGAGAACCCCTTGAACCGCCAGCGAGGGCTCAAAGCAGCTGCGTGGGTGCCAGGGTTGCTGCTAGCTCCAGGTCCCTGCCTGGGACAAAAGCCCACAGAAGAGCCAACCTTTGAAATGTTTATATTTCTGTCTCTACGCTCAGTTGTTTGCATGTTCTTCTTTTAGAAGCCAGCAGAAGTAAAGTGTGCAGCTACACAAGAGGCTGTATTGAGTGATAAGTCCAACGCAGACAAATTGCAGCAGGAGATTCCTCTCTCAGAGGCTTCTGAAGCAGCAAGAGAGCAGGGTTGTGGCAGCGACGTGAAGCCTCCAGCTGCGCTGCAGAGTGAGGAAGTGGCTTGTGAAGGTGACGAAGCGAGGCCAGGGACAGGGGCTGGCGCCGGTGACCGCGCTGCCAAGGGGAGCAGCGCCCCGGCAGAAGACGAGGAGTGCAGGAGCCAGGAGCCCTCCGTGTGGGACAGCGGCATCCTGGAGCGCGAGGCCCCCGGAGCCGGCCTGGGTAAGGACCGGAGGCGCTTCCCGCTCCGGAGCTCTCCCTGTGTGCTTGGAATTGGCTGGCAATAAGCGAAGGTGGCCAGGGAGGTCCTTGAAGAGCCAAAACCTCACGGATGTGGTTGTGAGGAAGAAGCAGTAGATGCAGTTTGGGGGTTCTTGCCTGGGTCTTTGGTTAGAATCCCTCTTCTGGGATGTGTGGCATCTGCTCAGCACTGCACGCAGCTCCAGGTAGAGCCAAGGAGTGTCCAGGGATGCTGAATCCGGGAGAATGTTTCCTGGCTCTCTCCGGTCCTGACTGCAGGGGAAAGGCGACTGGCTACCAAGTGTTTGTTCTGCTAACGCTTTATTTGTCCTTTTCTTCGCAGAAATTCCACTTGAGGATTTCAAGGAGCTTCCTCGGACTGTGCCTGGCCTGCTGGCCTATAGAAATCACTTGATCATGGAGCTGCTGTGGTTGGAACAAGCTATTGTGAGCCGTAAAAACGTAAGGGCCTGACCCTGCCTCTTGCAAAACGGTGGTTTGGACCAGTGCCTGTTTGCAGCCTGAGCAGTGCAGTCTGTGGGGAGGTGAATAGGGAAAATTCAGTTACTTGAGACCTAGATCAGCTGGTAGCAACGCTGGTTTGTTTATTTGTTTTTCCTCCTTCTGTGGAAAATAAGGAACGATAAGGGAAAACAGAGGGCTGGTTACAAGCTTTGCTCCTGGTCTGTTACAGAGACTTTGCTGCTTTGATAAATATCATATCTGTACAATACGCTAGTGCATATCTAGGTACCCAGCAAGCTGCTGTTTGCATTGCTTTAAAGGTGAGGCTCATGTGTGTGTTCTGGTCAGGTGTTAACAACTTTACATGCTGGTCTGCTAAGGCAGGTGCTTTCCTCCTCCTAGGATCTTTCCCTCTTCTGGATCCCTGGGATTTACTCATCAACATTTGATTTTTCTTTCCCTTGCAGTACTTGAGGCTGAAAAAGAAGCTGGGTGCTGCTGACCTGTAGGAGAGCATTCCAGGGGATGCAGGGAATTCGTATGGATGTGGAGAAGCAGCTGAGCTGGAGGACCATGGGCATCGCGGGACCTCATGGGCAGCAGCAGCCTGGGAGAACTCCAGCTCCACAGGTTGAAGTTCTCCAGATGAACGTGGCTAGAAAGCCTTTTTTACTTCTAAATGTGAATATTTGGTCAAAGCAGGTGTTAAACGTCACTGCAAAGGGAGCTTGTGCGACTAAAGGGAGTCCTAGTGAGGCCCCCTCCTACAGGAACCCCATTTCTGGGGGCTGAGCAGGACAACCTAGAGGTAATCGAGGCCGGGAAGATTGTCACTTACAGAAGGGGCTTTTTGAGCAGTTCCAAGCGGGTGCTGGTCGCTTGTTGTTGAACTAAGCTGCCTGGTGGCAGCAGGTGCCTTGAACCTGCAGGAGCAAGTTCTGTGATGAATTAGGGGTGACCCCTTGGTGTCTGAGCTGTGTGTTTGGGCTGACGCTGCAGAGCTGTAGCGTACACAATCCCCAGGTGAGTGTGGTGGGTTTTGGGGAACACCTGATTGAAGCACTGGGATGGCAGGAGCCTTTCCTGCCTTTCCTGAGCTCCTGGTGGCACAGGAGTGCTGGCCTCCAGGATATGGGCTTGGTTCCTGCCCTGTGCGTGGAAGAGCCGCTCAGGCTGGACCTCTGGTGCCGTCGGGAGCAGGGCAGGACTCGGAGGATCTGGTGTGATGCCTTGAAAGCACTTTATCCATGTGGATGCCTTGCTCGTTTTGCTGTGGCTCAGGGCTGTCTGATGGCCCTCGGGGAGGGATTTTCCACACGGGGCTGTGATTCCTTATGGTGACCCCGAATCTTCTGTGCAAACACTTGGTGCTCCTACTGCCTGGATGTAAGTATGGCAGATAAAGCTTTTTGTTCTCGATGATGCTGACTTGTTTGCAAATAAAAAGTTTTCCTGACATTTGAATCTGCTCATCCCTATTGGTCCTGCCTCCTCTCCTGGATGGAGCCAGCTGAGCCCGTAGCCTGTTTAGACCCAGACGGGCAGCAACGCGGGGTGTCCTTCACGGGGTGTCCTTCACGGGGTGGGTGTTTGTGCAAGAGGGGCAGGACAGAAACACGCTGCCCTTCTCCCACAGGCAGCAAGGTGGGAGGATGCTGCTGTCCTGGATGCGGCGGGAGCTGCTGCCACCAATTCGCTGGCATTCCCGGCTCCTCTGAGCTGGTTAACTCCACACTGGGAGGGAGGCTGCAGTGCCGGGAGGCTCCGTGATCAGCGGTTCCCGGTGCGTGGGAGGCTCCTTGATCAGCTTCCCGGCTGCCGGGTAAGGAGACGTTTTTCAGCTTGATGGATGTGGCCTCTGGACGGGCCCACAACTTCCTCCTGCAGCCATGGAGACGCCGCTCGCTCCGGTGCCGAGGCCGGAGGCAGGACACGGAGCGGCTCCCAAGGGACCCGCGGGGGGGCGGGCCGGGCCCGCCCACGCGTCACCGCGGCTTTGGCA